GATTTACTTTAATATTTTTATTTTTTTGTATTTAAATATAGTCAAATAAAGGGAGAAGAGGACAAAAGAGTCCTTTTCTTCATTTTCCTCAAATCAAATAAAGAGTTTAGATTCATTAGAATTTGTTAAATTCTAATGGATAGGGACTTCTCCTGTGCACAATGTGAACAAGTGACTGAGACCACATATCATTTATTATTTGAATGTGAAAAATCATGGCTGATTTGGACTTCATGCTACAATTGGTGGGGCATACAGGTGGTGTCACAAAGAGCAGGCTGGAAACATATGTCACAACATTTTGGCTTAATATCTAGCAAATGCTTACAGAAGACGTGGGCAGTGGTCTGGTTTTGCATTGTATGGTCCTTATGGTTATGGAGAAATGGCCAAATCTTTCAGGAGGAGGCAACTACAATGGAAAAGGTAATAGAGCTTGTCAAATGCTGATCTTTTTTTTGGATTAAAGCTAGTATCTGTTCTGATCTTGATTGGAATTCATGGCTGAAATCACCAATGGAAGCATGTAGGCTAAGGAATTAATCCTTGATTTGACTTCTTATATCTCTATTTTTGTGGTATAAATCAATGAATTATAACCTAATAGCGGAGAAACTCTCAATATAAATGGGTTTGGAGTACCCCTTGTATTCTTATCAATAAAAATTCTTTTTGCTGATAAAAAAATTAGAATTTAACAAATTAGTCACTTTAACTTAGTTTTAATTTTGACTTTGGTCATTGACTTTCATAATTTAAAAAATTAGTCACTCAATTTTGATTTAAGTGCTTTTTTTTAAAACTAAATCTAATTTCTCAAGGAATAGAAGCGTTTACAAATTTTGTAATTTTTAAGGTAGAATTTTCCCCAATAGACTTAAATTTGGTGAAATTTATCTTCTAAATTTACGCATGAATAATGACCATTACCCACTTTTTTTCCATGATTTTGTTCCATTTCCTTGTAATTCCATGATGCAGCATATTTAGGAAAGTTCTACTTATAGATATGATAAGCCCATACAGAGGTGGGTGCGCGAATGTCACTCCCTTTCTCTAGTTATATCTTGTGTTGAACTCAACTCTTTGTTGTATTTATCTAGACTTG